GTTGTGTTATTCTTGAGACATTGAATATCCCCATAAGCAATTATATGTCACAAGGCAAGATGAGAAAAGTCAGTATTTTCAGCTTTTCATATCTTTCGAATAAGACGACCTTTTATGTTGAAATTTTCATGGTATTCTAATGTTTACGAGGCCTATCTATGTATTTGACCCCTAATAGAATCAAAATCAATAAAATATATGAAAATGTCGCGTACAGAACAAAATATAAACAATAAAAATTCTGTTTTGAACTATAGATGAATTTTTACATAATTAAGTTTTAACTCAGGAAGATAATGCTAAATTTGTTGACATATAATCGATTGAAAGTCTTTCCCAGTGTTTGTGTTCATACGTAATCTACGCTCTTATCCAAAAAACTGTATTAATCAGAAAGTTTAAATTTCAGAATACGTAAAAAAATTAATTTTTCCGATCGACATTATCACAATTGTCCTACAAAGTGAACATGTCTTTTGCAAAATCGACTTTTTTTTTTCTTCATACATTTTTATTATAAAAAATATATTATTGAAAGGTTCAAGATATAATAGAAAGATTATAATTCTACAAGCAATAAATATGGAAGTGATTGTGAATCTTAAACATAGGTAATTTAACCGGCACATGAAAATATCTGAGTTCAACGTACGAATTGAAGTAAAGTTGTTATTAAGTCGATGAAAACAACAGAAAGCGACAGATAAATAGCTAAAGAAGAGAACTGAATAAACTATGTTGCTAACAGTATTCAACAATATTTTCTTGGATCGCACTTTTTTATTGATGATCAACATTTTTACTAATGTTTCTACTTTGAACTGTTGTTGACTCTTTTGTTTTTCTTTTGCAGAATGCAACAAAGAAGTAAGCAAGTCGATCATGTCAGAATATAGTAGGAATGACTCACAAATCGCATGGAAAAAAAAAACTTCCAAGAAGATTGTACTGATGCACAACAGATGAGTAATGCCATCAAGCTTCATAGTAATATACGTAATTTAACGTATGTATTCATCTATATGTCTGATATTGGTTTTTTCCAACTATTTTTTTTCATACGCAAAATAAGACAAAAAAAATATGACAACTTGATCAATGAAATGGCAAAAAAAATTCTTCTTCGAGCAGTAAAATTTGTTTTGACATAATTTTCTTTTTTTCTTCCAACTCGTCATATATTCTTTAATATAACGAGAGAAAGGAAAAGTGCTCTGTCAATACTTTTTTCTCATTGTTAGTAGAAATTTTAGCATTATTATTTTGGAATTGTGAAATATTAACCGAAAATTTAATCGCCTATAGAAAATCTCTTACTCAATTCGAAACATCTTCGAATTTCTTTGGTTTTTGACAAGCAATTCATCATTGTGGCATATAAAATCGTGAGTCATATTTCATATGTTGAAATAGTCGTTAGTTTTAAAGCATTCAGACAAGTATAGTTCACTCAAGAATTCAAGCAAACATCGCATACTGCATTCACTAATATCTTCAATGTTCAGTCATTATTAGGTTTTCAATTCTCTTTAGTTCATTTTATTCTTTTAGACTACAGAAAGTTAAAGGAATAGAAGCACTAAAAAAATAAACAAGACTCAAACGAGATAATATTTTCCTATCATTTAAGAGTTTTTCTTAAGCATCTCAATTTGTTTATACTATATTCATTAGTTGCAAATAAAAGCTAATGGCAATACGCAACTTTTCATCGGACAGAATTTCGAAATTCTTTTCTCATCCATTTTTGATGGATATTTTAGCAGAAATTCTATTGAAATGAGCTGAAAAAAAAACTGTGACTTCACGACAATAAATTTCATTTTTCTCAGTCGAGAAATCAAGTATGAAAAAAAATCTGGTCGAACAAAAGTTTGCTCTTATTTAGAGCTTCAAAGTTTCAGTGAACTACTTTAAAGCACGCTAACCGATGAAGACCGTTAACGCCATCTGTTATACTGATGCAACTAACAACGTAGTTTCTCCAAAATTGAAAAAAAACTACGAAAATCTCTCCGATAATTTCGAAAAGTCACACATATCCTGAAAGAGAGAAGCTTCAGTGCATCTTCCTATGATAAACACATTTTCTTCAAAAACTGGGTTTTTTTTTGTGTCCTTACATAACATAATTTGAAAATAAATCTTTTTTTTTACCGTTCTCGGTGCATAATAAATATTATATTGCGAGTATTTTCTTCAGATCGTACAATAAAAGATAATCCTTTCTCATGTAGTACTTGAAAAAGATACATAAAAATTGAATATATATTTTATGTTATAACAAGAAAATTTTTCTTTAACAACAGAATAATTCCAAGATATTTTTTTCCCCGAAAATTTGCATTATTATTATTACTGTTTTAACATTATAGACACAAGTCTCAAATAATCATTACATTTGAATTGAAGACAACAATCATTATTAATTAATCGTTCCCTGATCAAAAAAAAAAAATGGAAGAATCTAACATGATAAATCCTTTCAATATATTGGGCATCAAGGAGAATTCATTTCCAAGGGATGTAAAAAATGCTTTTAGACAGAAAATACATTCATCATCAAGATATCAAAGAGCAATATGTGCATTAGCATATGATATGATCTGTTCAAGAGATTCAACAAAATATATGAGATCTGGTAATAATTTTTTAGTTATTAAAAAAGATCATTTTTATTATGTTATTACGGGAAATTATCAATTATTTGTAAAAGAAATAAAAAAACATAAATCTTTACTCAATGAAAGAGATGAACATGGACGAACATTACTTTATATAGCAGCAAGAAATGGTTTTCATAATATATGTCATTTTTTATTAAGATCTGGTTGTAAAATTAATGAAATTCAAAATGATGGAAGTACAGCACTTCATGCAGCAGCATTTTATGAACATCAATCAATAGTTGAATTATTACTTGAATATGAAGCAAATCCAAAAATAAGAAATAATTTTGGAAATAATCCTCAAGATGAAACATATAGTCAACAAATAAAAACTTGTATTCTATCAAAAACTGATGATAAAATTAATTCATTATTAAATCAATTGAAAAAAGATGGACTTACCAAAACTTTAATTGTTATAAAACATTTTGATAAAATAATTGCTAAAAAAATTTTAAGAAATTTAGATTATTGTTCAGAATATTCAACATCATATTTACATAAATATTGGACATTAGCATGGCATGGTACTAGCTATAAACATTTAGAATCAATTATGAAATATGGTTTACAACCAGCTGGTACTGTTTTATCACCTGGACATCGAATTTCTCCACAAAATGGTCATATTAATTTAAATATAAAAGTTGGATCATTTGATAATTGGGCTAATGCTATATTCATATCACCAAGTATATTTTATGCAGCGGATATAGTCTATTCGGAAAGAATATTTTCTGATAATCAACGATGGTGTATTTTAATTGAAACACGAGTAAAACCAAATAGTTTTACAAAACATCAACAGACATTATTAAATCAAAGAGAATTATTACCAGGTGAACCAGAAAATTTAGAATATAGAGTTGCTGCAAAATCTGATGAAGATTTTATTCTAAGAGTAGAATCAAATAGAAATGTTATAGTTACGGCATTGGTTTTTGTAAATTTAACATTTCTTGAAAATATTGATGAATATTATCAAGGAGAAGATTTATTTGCTAATTCAGATGCTGAAAGAGATCTTTTTTCAATAAATTGATATATTTCATATGAAAATTCAAATCATTATTACAAGCAATCCACAAAACAAGTTGAAAATGATCTTATTCAATTGAGATCGTCGGATGATGTTTTGTTTTTTTTCGGAAGTATCTACTTCTTTCCTATTTACCTATTTTTATATGAAAAATTATTAGAAATAAAATTTTTTATATTAAATCTTGTCTAAATATCTGAATTTTAGAAGATAAAATGTTTCGACAAGATATGACAATCGTAGCGGCGTAACCAGAGTTTTGGCGATGGTAGGGCTCAGGTTACTGAGGTCTGTAGGGTGGTAGGGCTTGTGAAAGGATTCAGCTGACGATGCTAACACTGGTGGTAGGGCTGAGTCCTCCTGGCCCTACCTTAGTTACGCGACTAGACAATCGTATGAATACCTTACCATTCGAATATTTCTGCCTTCAATACTTTCGCATTTACAATATTTTCTGTGCATCTCTTCTTTTGAATGAAATTTCATCTATGTATGATTAAATAACTTTATAAAAGCAACACTCGGTATATATTCATGATCTTGAAATATGATATTTTCTAACAAGTGCTGCTATTGATTAATATCATGTCTATCTTGTCATTTACATAATAATTGTCATAATCAAAATGATTATATTTGTATCTTTGTAATACTAATCTTGTTACTTGAAGGTGATAAGAAATAGGAGGAGAATCAAGGCAAAGTCGTGGGTAGAGAACCATTTTTATCCTGGTGAGATCAAGGAAAATTCTTGAAGTTAGCTCATGATCAAATTTCATAATATAAATATTCATATACAGAACGTATATACTAGATAATCAATATCAATGCGTACATAACATATCTTGACTTTTCAAAGTTTGATGTCAGGAAAGTCAAAAATTGAGAATTTAATTGAAAGTGACCAATTTTTTTTTCTCTCAGGATTTATATCATGTGCAAAGCTCTTGAAACGTACTATCATATCATAAGAAAACTTGTCTTATTAGCAATAAGAATAGTTAATGTTCATATAGATTTTTAATAGGTACTAGAGCAATGTGTTTTTAAGACACTTGAAAGACGTAAACTTGTAGTGCGTTGATAACAATAACTACATTAGCGTCCTCTTCAAGCTTTTTTTGAGATCAATTTAAAGGATTTATATTATTATTTCATTCGATAGACAAATATCCTATGAACAAATATTTCAAAAAAAGCAAAAAAGAAAAAAAATTGGACATATATTTGATGAAGATAAATTTTCTTTTTTTTGTTTGTAGTAGTTTGATGAAATTTTTAGTATAATTAACATGGCACAAACAAAAAAATCTGTTAGTGAATTTATTCAAGATGCATTTTGTCCAATGATTGCTGTTTTATGTAGTTATGATGCTGAAACAATTTGTCGAAAAAATAATTTAACATTTGCTGAATTAATTCAACCATTTTGTCGTCTTCCTTCAGAAGGTTTTTATATTTTTATTTCATTTTTATTTTTCTTTTTTTATGATCTTTTATTAAGTTGCCTATCGTGATCCATCAAATAATTTAATAATATTAAAAAATTTACGTCTTGAAATAAAAGATTATAATTCATTACCTCCACAAAATACATTAGCAAAAAAATTATTAAATGATGCTGTATTTAATGTATTAACAAATGGATCAATAAATAATGAACATGAAATTGATACAGAACAATATCAATTACAAATAAAAAGTAAAAATATTTTTTTATTAATAGAAAAATAATTTGAAATGAAATTTTAGATACAACACCATGGTTTGATTCATGGCGTGATTGTTTTTTACGTATAGCATATAATGGTGATCATGAATTTCTTAAAAATTATCTTGCTTGTAAATTTTAAAAAAGAAAAATTTCTTATTTTAATAAATAAATAAATAAATAAATTCAATAGGTATTATGGTTGTATCAACATCACATCTTGATCCACTTGATGCATTTGCTAAACTTGTTCAACAACAAATTCAACAACAACAACAAATACCAGCAAAATTACCTAAATGGTTTATGACAAATATATATAAATATTTTGTTTTATTACATGATGTTACTGAAGGAGAAGAATCTAAGTATGTTTATTTGAAATTTTTATTTAATTAAATAGAACAAAAGGGTGGCCTCGAAAGTCCTGATTCGATTTGTATAATTGATTTTTCAAATATTGTTTAAAAAATTTGTCCTTATGATAAAAAGATACAGTTTCTTTTTATTATAAAGACAAATTTTTAATAATATTTGAATAAATCAATTATACAAATCGAGTTAGAACTTTCGGGATCATCCTTTATGTGTATGAATCTTTCTTTCAGTATTTCAATACGAAAGTAAGATATGCTTATTTTGGGAAGTTTGAACTTGATATTAATTTTATAATTGAAAGAGATCTTTGTATAGTTCAATTGTAATTTAAGATATTTTGTTTTGTTTGAAAATTTATATAGAGGGGTTGGAATTTTTGTTTTTTAGAATATATGATTTTTCTTCTATGTTCGAAGTTTTTGGTTTTTTTTTATTTTTGAAAATCTTAATAAAATTTCTTATTTTAAGAGCTATATCTGTATTTGGTGATCTTAAACAACAATATGGAGCTGGTAATTGTCATTTATTACAAATAAATTCTAAACGTCCTGGTCAAACAAATAATGATATAAATGAAGGACCAAATATGCCAGATCCATGGCGTATTTATGTTAAACAATCATCATTATCTATTCAACAACAATCAAAAAAAGATAATTCATTAAGTGATTCTTTATCAAATTTAACTGAACTTATTGATCAAGAACTTAATCTTAATAGTAATTATTAATTTCTTGTTTTTTTTTTTTTTACTTAAAAATCTACAAATCAAAAACAAAAAAAAATGTTTTTTAGCATCAATTACTCATCCATTAGGTTCATTTGATACATCAAATAATGATTTGTCTTCAACAACAACAACAACAATTGATGAAGGATATGATGGTTCATCAATAACAAGTACATCTACAATAATTCATGGTGCTTGTTTAACATTAAGTGATCATGATAGAATTCATGTATTTATGTAAGTTACTTTAAATTTATTATTATTATTATGTATTTATTTAATTGATTAGGAATGAATTTGTTACAAAAGGTCTTCTTCTATGGGTTGAAACAAATTTAAAAACATTTAATGAACAAGTATGAAAACAAATAATAATATTGAATTCTTTTATTATTATTATTTTAATTTAAGATAACATCACGTCGTGGACTAACAAAATTATTTGCAATGCCAAAAAAATTCTTTGGTGGTAATACATCAACTATTAAAAATCAACCAATAATTTCTTCAACAAAGTAAAAAATAATTATTAAATATTTATTTTTATAAATATTTTCTTGTTTTTTTTTTAATAAGTTTAACGAATGATTCAATGGAAATAGTTCTTCGTCGTACTGCTGATTTAGCATTTCTTTTTCAACATTATGAATTAGCTTATACAAATTATTATGCTGCTAAACGTGATTTATCACGTGATCAAGCACCAACTTTTTATGCTGGTGTATTAGTAAATAATTTTGATTTTTTTTAAAAAATAATTTTGTTCTATTTTTTTTTTTGAATTAAGGAAATGTGTTGTCTAGCAAATTTTATGCAAGATTCATCAGCAAGTAAAGCTTATCCAATACAATATATGGATGAAGCTATAGAAATTTATGCAGTTGTATCCAGGTTAAATCGAAAAATAAAAAAAAAATCATAGAGAAAAATATTTTAATTTTAATTATTTAGATTACCAATATTTGCAACACGTTGTGTTCTTATGTCAACAGAAATATTAAAATCTAAAGAAGCATATGATCAAGCTGTACAACAATTTCTTAAACTTTCTCAAGAAGTATATCAGGATTATATTCTAAATTTTTTTTTAATTATAAAAATAAATTTAATATTTATTTTAGGATTCTGATTTACGTGGTGCACTTTTTCTTGAACAAGCTTCACATTGTTTTCTTAATTATCGACCACCATTTATAAGAAAATATGCATTTTATATGGTCATTGCTGGACATCGTTATTTAAAAGCTGGACAGGTTAATGAAAAGAAAAAAAATATATAAAGAAAATTTTATTTTAATATAATTTTATTCTAGCGTTTACATGCACTTCGTTGTTATAATGATGTTCTTAAAATTTATGGAAAACCAAATTGGTCATTAGCACTTGTAAGTATTTTTGATTATTGAAAAAAAGTTAAAATTAGAAAGTTACTAAATATGAATATAAGTATAACAGACATATTCTTATAATAAGACATTGGTGAACAAAAAATTTTAGAATCGTAACTAAAATAAATATTGTCATAAATTAAAAATAGTGAGTGAAATTTAGTTTAAACTTTGTAGTAAATTTGAAATTTATATTTAATTCAGAGAAGAATCAAAAAAATGGGTAATTACAGCTTATAACTGATAGTGGACGTATTGTTAACCCTTTTAAGAGTCGAAGTAGCTTCCGCTTATAAAAATGAGAATCTAATTAGAAAAACAGAGATTATGAACTCTCAGTATATTCGTACTATAGTTAAAAATAATTACCTTCTTCTTATTCTGGACCTACGCAACCTTCTTTGGCAGGAATTTCGATCGGAAACTTTACCTTTAGATAGTTTTGATAATACTTAATATGTTCCGAAATTTTCACTTAGAACAGATGCTTTCTTGCTAAGATATTCAAAATCCAGAAACCAGCTAAATTTTGCTAAAAACTTCAACATTCTGTATCTCGCGAAAGAAACAACAGTTGTTCCTGAAAATTTTGAAATTTCCTAAACACTATGTATGAGCCAAGTTTCATGTTAGAAATACATTGTTTTGATTTTTCTATGAGGCGGAATGTCTCATCGAAGGAATTTTTTATTGATCACAGCACAATCTGTCAGTAGATCAGTTAAAAGATTCTAGAACGCTGACATTGAATAGCTTGCTGATAGGCTTAAGAGTATAGTGTAAAATAAACTACACTGTATGTCGCATTTCCGAATAGATACAACTTTAGGGAAGAAATGTGTTATTGAAAAAAGTCATCAGTCCTAAAAGGTGTTTTGCTATGCTTGACAGCCGCCTGAATACTACATTTTGGTCTAGATATAGCCTCGAAAGTTATGTCAATCCAGAAAAATATTGGTTTTTATCTACAACATTTTTATAAGACTTTGATTACAATTATTTAAATGTCCCTTGGAAGGGACATTCGGCTCGTAAGGGTTAACTATCGGGCGCTTTTGATTTCCTATTAAAACTACAAGATAGATCTCTAGTAATACTGAGAAAAATCCTGACATTATTTCACTGAATTTTCAACCTATTCCCAGAGATTCGATCTTTGGAATATTTCTAAGTAGAATTTTTTCTATTTCATAGACGTATTGTGAAATTGAATGGGGTCCAATAGTTGAGAATTAGTGTTTTTTCTCTATTAAATTTTTTATGCTTATCTAATAGACATTTGGAAAATATCTTAATTTTTCTATGAATATTTCGATTTAACTAGATATATTAATTCTTTTCTATTTTTGATTATTTAACAATGATTTTCTTTTTCTTTTTTTCTCTAATATTAGGATCATATCAATTTTACATTAGGAAAACAAAGTGCTTTATTACATCAAACAAATGATGCAATGAAAAGTTTTAATGCACTTTTTGCACCAAATAATAATATACAAAATGCTCAACAACAAATTATTTTTTTTAAAGAATATTTAACTATATTCAATGTAAGTTTATTTTTTTTTATTATTTTCTCATTAGTTTTGTTTTCTTTAGCAATTAACAAGTTCTAATACAGTTTTACCAGAATTACCAGTACCATTAATAGATAATACAACAATTAAAATTCTTCTTGCTGGTCATCAACAACCACGAATGGGTTTGATTTATAATTTTTTTTCTTTTTTCTTTCCAATGAATTTCTTATTATAGGTGGTTATGTATCAAATTGTAATGATTTTGATTTTGATGAAACACGAGATATATGGTCAGAACTTGAACGAACAATAACTGCTTATGATCGTCGTTGTAGTGGTACTCGTACACAAATAAATTTATTTACAAATCGTACACATAATCAACAACATCCAATAGCTGTTGCTAATGGTTTGTAGAAGAAAAAAAGAAAAATTATCAATGTAAAACAAAAAAAAAAATATTTTTTTTTAGAAACTATACGTATTGAATTTTATGCAAGAAATACACTTCAAGTTCCATTATTATTAAGTGAAGTACAAATATTATGGAAATTTTCATTAACTGGTTGGAAAAGAAAAACTAGTATATCAACAGATACTGCTGAAGAATGGAAGGAATGTACGAATGATACATTGACACCACAAGTAAGAATAATATATATATATGAACTAAATCAGCAAAAATGGGACATTCACCCGTTGTATTTGAATGCAATTCTCGATCAGTATGGATTTTTTGAGTGAATTGTTTTTGCATAGGCTTATGTAAAATTGTCTGCTCTTTCACATGGTTATTAATTAACTAATTAAGAAGTAATTAGCGAATATCTCGATAGTTGAATGACGAAACATTTGAAAACTTCAAGATAAGCTCTAGGATATGAGCCGCATATATGGTAAAATTTTCAGCGAGATCGGACTTCAAAAAGTTCCTTCCAAAAAAATCGACCTTTCAGAGCCTTTAGACAGAGCTGAAACGAAAATGTTTGTCTTAAGATTATTCTAGGGACTTCTACCATTGACAAGAGCCCTTTGGAATCGATTTCGAACTTTTCAGTTCGTTACTAGAGCATTTGATCGGTACTGAAGTCGTACTCAGTCACGTCGCTAACGCGGAATAAATTTTGTTTTTTGAAAAATCTAGACATGCTCAAAATAATTTTACACCGGGATTTAGTAGCCTTAGAAGTCATGTCTAGTATCGCGTATTAAGTTTTCGGCGATTGTGCAACAGTTGGAAATTTTTAAAAGCCAAAGTTTATCAAGTGATAGTTGATGTCCTTTTTAGTGTCACATCGCTAACACTAGTTTTTCGTTAATAACTCCTCTGAACAAAGCTCTAGAATGTTGACTTTTTCATGGCATCTAGACTAAATAGAGATTCATACAACATGCAAAAATCACAACCTAAATCAGTTGATAATTCCGAGATATGCATACTCCCATTTAGCCCATATATATTCTAAAGTGACAGATTCATAATTCAACAATTTTAAAATTTTTGTCCTTTCATTTTTTTTTGAATGAGTATAATCATGATTAGTTCTTAAAAGCATCATATGTAACTTTAGATTTTTATTTCTTATAAAGCAAATAATACTAAAATAAAAATATAAATTGAATTTAATCTATAAATTTCTAGACAGATCAACTTGTTGACTGTGATATTCTTAGTGATTGTATTATTTTTCCAAATGATACTTCTAAAGTAAGTTAAAAAAATAAATTCATATATATATATGTATGTATATTTCTTTTTTTTTTTACTAATAATTAAAGATAGAATTATCATTACGACCACGTCGTGCTGGTAATTTAACAATATTAGGTATATATTATCGACTTAATATACTTGTACAAAATATAAGTGATCAAACAACATGGCCATATGGAATAATGGGTAAAACATTATTTCATGTTAAAGGTATTCGACTTAATTCTAATCGTCGAGAACGTCTTAATGTTATCTATGGTGTTGATAAACGATTAGAAATACAAGTTGTACCAGAAGCACCACTTCTTCATGTAAATTTTATATAGATAACATTAAAAAAAAAATTTCTCTTTTACTATAACAGATTGAATTTTCTCCTATGCCTGATGCAATGTTTTGTGGTGAAATTCAATCTTGTTTAATTCATTTAATAAATACAAGTTTATTACATTCAATAACTCGTATTCGTTTAGTAACAAGTCAACCAAAATTAATAACAATATCATCAATTGATGAAGATTCTTTATTAATATATACAGATGAATGTAAATCTATATGGAATCATCCATTAAATCAACAATCATCTGTATTAACACTTGTTAGTCATCATCATCCATTATTAGCTAATTCAACACGAACTATACGTTTATGGTTTCATGCATCACAACTTGCTGGTGAAATGAATATTGATTTTTTATTTCTTTATGAATCGGATGTTTTTCAACAACCATTAAGGTTATTTTTAATTACTAAGATAAATAATTCAAAGCAAAAACAAAAGAATGAAGACATGTTTTTGGATCATAAATAATACTACGAAAAATCTCTACTTCGATTCATTAAGATTGGCTGATTTTTTTTTTTAATGTTAGCAACAGAAGTTTATCAATGCATTCACATTATTTATTGATAATCTATACCAGTGATATTTGTTTTTTTCTTTTTGGATACATAAGGGTAGAGAGAAAATGTCTATTCAACTATGATGTATGAATTACAATCTAGTTTATTCTCACTTTCTAACTTACGAGGGAACATTCCCAACTGATCAATCGCTTTTGAGCTGATATTTTGGCCATAGGTAGGGGACCACGAGACTAGAATAACCCTAAGAGGATTTGGGCTGTTGGGCCTTTGGGACTGAGCTATGACCGTTTTACTGGACTTTTTATCTATGGCACCGGGTTACTTGCAAAAGTAAATTATCGAATTTTGACCTGAAATTTTGTCCGTGAAGAGATCTAAGAGCCATTAGAATACCCTGAACATTTCAGACAAAACAAATTCATCCTTCTTCAGATATTGAATTTTCAAAATAACACCATTTTGCTAATTTTTTTCTGCAGAATGGTCGGATTTTGAAAATTCAATATCTGAAGAAGGATGCCTTCGTTTCGTCTGAAACTTTCATGGTATTCTAGTGGCCATCAGACCTCTTCATGGACAAAATTTCAGGTCGAAATTCGATAATTTACTTTTGCAGGTAACCCGGAGCCATAGATAAAAAAAATCCAGTAAAACGGTCATAACTCACCCCAAAGGCCCAACAGCCCAAATCCTCTTAAGGTTATTCTAGTCTCGTGATCCGCTACCTATGGCCAAAATATCAGCTGAAAAGCGATTGATCAGTTGGGAATGTTCCCTCGTTAGATACTGGCTTCAGTAGTTGTGACAGAGTGTAATATGCTTTTTGCTCAAGTTTAGATTTGGTTAAGAGAATGAATTTTTAGTAGATTTTTCTTACAGAAATTCAGTCTTCAATCTAAATCTTTGTAGGCATGAAGATCTCGATCAATGTTCGACATGGGTCAATTTTTCATCACCCGAACAGATCCGAGTCGGATATTGATCTCGATTAGACTATCTCATGTTTAACGTTTCATCAATTTTGAATAGGGTGTTGCTTTACGCTTTTTTTGATATTATTCAGGTTGAAAGACGGATTCCAGCAAGGAGAGTCGACTAAAAGTCTTCTATTTTGACTCATCTAAGTCTAATCATGCGCAGGAATCCTTTAAAATTTATATTACTCAAGTAATCTCCTACATATGAAACCAAAAGGAAGTGAATCTCTTAAGAATGTCTCTTGATAAGTACAATTTTAGTATTAATAAACATCATATTAGAACGTTTCTAATAAACTAGAGACTAAATTCTAGTATCATTTATGATTCATACTGTATTTTTCTTACAAAAGAATCACTTCATCAAATCTTTTATGTTGAAATTATTTTTCTATTTAGTGAAAAAAAAAAATAATAAATTATAAAATTTAATGTTTAGACATCGAACAGTAAAACATTCATCATTATGTATAATTACTCATTCGATTAGTTTTCAAACTCAAACACAATCAATAGGACTTGGTGAACTTATTTTACCAGTTCAAATAGATAATATAATGGCTGTAAGACTCTTGTTTTTTTTTCTTAATTCAATTATTTTTCCTTTTTTTTTTTTATTTATATTAGACACAAAATACATTAAGTGTTAATGTTCAACAACTTTCATGTATTAGTAAACAATGGGATATAAAAAATCTTTCTTCTATATCGCAAAGTAAAAATTCAAAAATGATTTATTTTCATTATATTTTTTTTTTTTAAAGATTCAATTCGTTATGGTGAAAATTTATCACTTGTATTTAAATGTAAACATCCAGAAAATCATGATGAATCTTTACAAATAAAACATATTTATTTAGAAAATGATGAAACAATCAATGATAAATATGTAAATAAGTTTTTTTTTCAAGAAATTCAAACATAATATTGTGTTGATTATTTTATTTTAGATTGATATAAGTAAAAGTCCAATTGCAGATTTTTTTCGTCATTTTATTTCAAATATTGTTCATCCAACATATCCAATACATCGTCATAGAACTTCAATATCTATAACATTACCTTCTATATCACTTATACTTCTTTGGCAAATAGCAATATCAAATCAATTAGGTCAATTAGAAATTCGTCATGGTTTACATATGATTTCTCCATCTATTGAACCTCCTCATAAACAACAAGAAATAAATGATATAGTACAATATGAATTAATTTATCCTTCAATTGTTGAACATAAATTTACAAAAATTTTAATTTTACCTATTGAATTAAAATTATGTAATCGTACGAATGAAAATTTACAATTACAATTACAATTAATAAGGTATATATATAAAAATTTTTTATAATTAATTTCGTTTTTTGTTTTTGTTTTTAAAGAGCATCATTAGATAATGATCCACTTTTATCATCATGTTGTTTATGGTCTGGTATGACTGAACAATTTATTAATTTATCAGCATATGAGCATTTATCATTAAATTTACGTGCATGTTTTTTTAAACCAGGATTTTATTCATTGAAAAATATATCATTAACAATAATTGATAAAATTAATTCTACAACTATACCGATCAAATCAAATATACATAATTATTTTGTTGATATTCGAACATTATTATAAAATGTGTTTCTTTTTTTTTTGTCTTTTTTTCGGTTCTTAAAATAGTCAGGCTTTATTTCAAAAAATTCCTTTTCAATATTTTGTTTTCTGTTTATTCTTTTTTTTTGTCTATATTGATCTAATGAAGTGAAACAAATGTCCTGACAAAATTAATATCATATTAAACAATACTCATATTGAATATTATCAAGGGAATAGAATCAATAGAACATTTTCTGAAGAATATTGTATTCTTTGATAAGGATAAAATATGATGTCAAATATCAGAAATATGCTCTTTATACAAAAAATTCATTTGAAATGAAATCATGTTAACAGATCTTATTAGAGTGTGGAGGTTGGTTTTTTCATCAGTCATCATTACACCTACAGTCAAAGACAAAAGTTTAAACGAAAATGTATTTTTGATTTTTTCTATAATAACAAGCATCTAACTGAAATCCAAATAGTGATTCAGATAGCTAATGAAGAGTTCTATCAAATGCATCCTATACCAAAATTTCATAGATGATTTAAGGTAGGAAGGTTTTTAGAAAACCCAAAACCGTATTTTTCAGGTCTCAGAAGACTTTGCAATAATTCGTTTTTAACAGTATCAACTTAAAGAACACAAAATTCTGAAGAAAATAAAGGGTCGCCGCCTTTCCTTTCAAAATTTATAAGCATCACAAAAATCGAAAAAATACGATTTCTAGCGGTTTCTTGATAAATTTCACTTTTTTTTCCAGTTTTTGTAATGCTTATAGAAAGGCGGCGACCCTTCATTTTCTTCAGAATTTTGTGTTCTTTAAGTTGATACTGTTAGAAACGAACTATTGCAAAGTCTTCTGAGACCTGAAAAATACGGTTTTGAGTTTTCTAGAAACCTTCCTACCTTAAATCATCTATGTAATTCTGGTATAGGATGCATTTGATAGAACTCTTCATTGGCTATTCGAATCACTATTTGGATTTCAGTTAGATGTTTGTTATTATAGAAAAAATTAAAAATACATTTTCGTTGAAACTTTTGTCTTTGACTGTACATCTCTTATAAGATTTACTTCAATTGGAGTGAGCAAATCGATACAAGAATGAATTTATGATTGACTTATGTATGATTATGAGAATGATGATTCTAGCATCTACAGTACAGCTGATACTGATGATTAATAACCTTTTTTTTTTAACGTAAATATCATGAAACACTTTTCGTTGGAATCCTTATCATCAAGATGAGTTTAGTATATAATTTTCGATGATGTGTTTAATCGAAAATAAGAACCCTCGCGAAAATTAATAAATCATATGTCAAGAAATTGATAGCGAGTAAAAATTTATAGATGAAAATATTTCTTAATTGCTTAGATTTAAAAAAAAACTCGGTGAATAACCTTCAATAAAATTTTCATATCTTGTGAACGCATTAAGATCTACTTCCATCATTCATAACAAATGCTTAACCATTGATTTCGGCTTTGTTAGCATTATCATCGAACAGTTGACGCCAGCATGAAATGCTATTGCTGGAAATTGATAGCTAATAGAATTTCTTTTAATATTTTATGTATGCATAAATGATTGACCTAATTAATCAAGATTTTGTTTGATGGTTTCACCTAGCAGTATTGAAAACACTTATTTCAATCGAATTTGTTTACAGCAAGTTGAAGTACTCTATGAATTAAGGGATATATATGTAAAGACAATGTCGAGTTTTGTCCATTGTTTAGCTCGGCTATCATGTTGAGCTTAGTTCTTACTCAACGTATAAATATTCTCTTCTAGAATATCAGTTATAAAATCAATACATTCATTGACATTAGTGAGTGAATGTTTCTTGTTCACTAGTTCTCTTGGTACGATCATCTTTATTCATTTCATCGATATTCACATAGAACCCAATCAGTAAACACTTCTGAACCATACTAGCATAGGTAGGTCATTGTGACAGTAGTATCACTTGTTGTTGACTTTTTCTTTTAGTTCATGATATCTTTTGTGTTTATTGAATTAAAACACTAAAATAAAATAACTTAGATTTATATAGTATGTCCAAATTTCGGTCTAGATTTTTCTATTTGTTTTTGGTTATTATTGTTGTTTGAGTAAATACTTTCCTTCTTTTTTTTTTATCATTTATTATCTCTAATGTCACAAGAAAAGAAATAAATGGAATAAATTTATTCCAATATTGTTTTATTCACTGTGTGCCATTTCATTTTATTTTTATGATATTCGAAAGTTTTTTCTTATGTATCGTAAATGAATTTATATAAAGAAACAGAATAGTACACTTTGTTGTTTATCATAATATGCTCAAGAAAAAACTAAATGAAACTGTCAGCATTAGTTTGATTTAAAGACGGCATAATCAAAGCCTTAATCACTAGTGTAGTATCTACTCTTTAGATTACTATGGATAATATTGGAAAATCACGAGGAGTTCTATTTCTAGATTAGAGCTTCATTGTGTCATCATCAATTAGGTTGCTTTGATATTCTTCAAGTCCTACGTTCCAAAAAGAGATTCTCCTGTTTTTCCATGTGCAAAACATAAGAGTCTATTTCCAAAGTCGATCCTGCAGGATAAGTGTCCTGTGATGTTGTTTATTGTTTTATACCAAGACTTGAATGTTGGCAAGCTCTTTTTAGTTTTTCTCGATTCTTCTTGAAAGATCATTTTTTTCTGAAAGTATCTCTTCAATTTATAGGCAGATTTCATATTTCTGCATGGTAGAGATATATCTTATCGAAAATGAATTTTTCTTATGGCTCCGACGGAACCCCAACAGCAATAAGTTAGGAATCCGAACTGTTTACTTTCGTAAGTTAAGACTATTCACATAAATCTTATGCATGGAAAACTAAAAATTGCACAATAAACATTTCTTTTTTTTTTCACATTTCAACAATATTTCATTAGACACAAAAAAATTCTAAAACAGAAAAAAACGAACGAATATTTTCTTTTCTCGTTAATTTAAACAAAAAAGTGTGCACTTGCAAAAAAATTTCAAAATACATAGCTAAAATTTTTGCTTAATTCTTACAAATAAACAAAAACAAAACAATATTTTACAATAGCAAATATTCATGAAAAATTGGTTTTCGTTTTCTTTTTTTTGTTTTTCATTTATTCGAAAATCATAACACACAGATATGAAACTCGAAAATATAAAATTGCACATAATCTGTTCGAAGTTTCAAAAAAACAAAAATAAAAAAACCAAGAACATGAAATTCTTTTCGTTATTCATCGCCGGGTTTGTCCAAGTGAACTTTTAATAGCTGAACATAACCAATCAATACCATCAGCTACACCATCACCTTTAAGTGCATTACTAGAACATATATGCCAAGATTTATTTATAATACCATCAAGACCTAATGCTGATGATACACCAACATCTGATAGAGCATCACGTATATCCATTTTATTAGCAAATATTAATATTGGTATATTACGTGTTAATATATCATGATGTGAAAGTAATTGTTGAAGTTCTTCACGAGCAACAATTATACGTGTTTTATCTGAACTATCAACAACAAATATAATACCATTTGCTGTATGATAATAATTTGCCCATAATGTTCTATAACGACTTTGTCCACTCATATCAAATGCTGTAAATGAAAGTCCTTTACATGCAAAATGTTCAATATTAAAACCAACTGTTGGTACAATATCATTTGATTGATTTTCATTTGGTAAAAGAAAATTTAAAAGTGAAGTTTTACCACTATTATCAAGACCAACAACTAATACACTAACTTGACGTTTTCGAAGGCCAAGCCATTCAATTAATGAATCAAATAGACCCATGCATTCAATAATTTATGTTAGGATTATCTATTGATTTAGATTATAAGAAAAAAACATACACACATACAGATCAACGATGATGGTATGTCAAATCTATTTCATTGCTTAGTTACAACCATCATTCATCGATATTTTTGTTTTTTCAATACAATAGAGGTCACTTATAGTATTAACTAAAATATATATATAGATATTAAAGAGAAGAGAGGACGAACAAAGTAGCAAGTGGTGGTAAATCGAGGACTGAGATATGGATAAATAGATGGAATTATTAAAATAAGAAATATATACTTATTTAAATTTACGAGACGATATCAAGATTAGAATAACTAATATAAATTTCGAGAAAGCAATTCTCATATTGAATATAATAATCTTTTTTAATCAATAATAAAAACGCGCTTTAAAACAAAACATTTTTCTATATCCCTTTTTTCTTTTTGCTTTTCTATTTAGGTCTCTTTTTCATTTTTGTTCACCATTTAATGACAACAACTACTAATACTACAACTGAAGACTGTGGTAGTACAACATTAACTGAAACTGATCAATTAGTTCGTCCACGTTCACCAACACTTATACTTGAATTACATCGTCCAATAGATACAGGTCCACGAGTTCATTGGTCAGAAGGAACAATTGATAATGAATATATGAATAAAAAAAAGTCCAAATGTTGTTGTATTTATACAAAACCACATGATCCACAATCGAATGATGATAAAATAACTGAAGTTGATGAATATAATAATTGTCAACATTGTCGATATCATACACAATCAGATTATGCTGCTAAATCAGAAGAACGTCAACCAAGAATTAAATTAAGTGTTGGTCAACCAAAATAAATCTTTTTTTTTTATATATTTGCATGCAAAAAACAACGAATTAAATTCGAGAAAACAAAAAAAGCATTTTTTGTTTTTTTTTTTACCAAAAATATATATATATATATATGAATGTATCTGTATTCTCGCTTGTTTTTTTCTTTTTTAGATTATTCTCATTTAAAGAAAAACAAAAAAAATCATGGGTCGTGTTCGTACAAAAACAGTTAAAAAAGCATCACGACAAATTATTGAAAAATATTATACAAAATTAACACTCGATTTTCATACAAATAAACGTGTTGTTGAAGAAATTGCAATTATACCAACAAAACGTCTTCGTAATCAAATAGCTGGTTTTATAACACATTTAATGAAACGTATACAAGCTGGACCTGTACGTGGTATATCAATTAAACTTCAAGAAGAAGAACGTGAAAGACGAGATAATTATGTACCAGAAATATCAGCATTAGAACCACAAACAATGATTTCAATTGATCAAGATACAAAGGATATGTTAAATGCATTTGATTTTAAAACATTACCTAATGTTGGTGTTCAAGAAACAAATGAACAACAAAATCAACAAGGTCTTAGTAATCAACGTTTAGGTGGTGATCGACAACAAGGTACATATCAACGACGTGGTGGTTTTCAATAAACATCAATAATAAATATTAAAACAAAAAAAAAAAAAGAAATTATTTTCAATCCTATTTAACTTAACAAAATATATATATATAAGCATTGTTTTGTTAGGTTTTTTTCTTTTTTTGTTCATCTAAACAATAAATGGGATTGAGATAAAGAAAATAAAATTTGAAAGAAAAAAAAACACCAAGTTTTTATTTAGATTATTCAATAGTATTTTTTTCTTTTTTGTTGTTTTTCATGAATTTATGGCAAATTATCGAAAATTAAAAGTACATGAAGTTGGAACAGATACATATATTGATTATGATGCTAATGTGAGTGATATTTTGATTGTAAATCTCTTTCTTTAGATTAAGTGATAGTTGGATTTTTTTGTTTGTTTGTTTCTAGTTTCAACGAGTACCATGTGCATGTGCTTTTCATCCAAGTAAGTTAATCAATTCGAAGTGTATATTAAAAAAAGTTTTAAAGAACCAATTGAAAAGAATATTTCAAAATCGAAATATTGAATTTTTTAGTTGATCATATATCTATAATAAGCGATTAGTTTTAGATATGTTGATTTTTTTATTAGTACAAAAAATTTTGATTGTAATTAAATTGTCATATACTTACTATTTCTATTTATGAGATACTTTCGGTTCGATTATATAGAAGTGAACCAAAGATTTTGATATATCCAAATTATTATTTTTTTGTTTAGATAATGATTTATGTGCAATTAGTTATGATAATGGTAATATTCGTCTTTATTCAACCTTTAATGATATTCTTAAATTAGTAAAAGGTAAATTTTATATATTGATAAAATATATTTTTTTTTTAGGTAGTTGATAATTAGATAATGTTTAAGGTTACTTTATTACATTCATAGAGTTATAAAATATATAAATGTACTTGAAATTTTTGTAACTACAGTATTTATTTTTCTCTCGTTTCCTTGACATTTACGAAAAAAAAGAATCAATATGCTATAGAATTATTTTTTATGCTTTAGCAAAAAACGTACGAAATTTGTTGATGATTTATATGAAAAATTTTTGTAACCTACAGGTTGGGTCATTAATAACACTATAATAAAAACAAAATATCTCTCCATTGATTAAATCAAATGGACTGATTTTTGATAGTATTTTATTCATGTTTTTTTCTTTCCGAGGGGTGATTTTAAACTCTGAGAGAGACTGTACATTAAATATCACATTGGAATAAAATAAGCAAATATTATTGTTAAGTATAATTCTTGAATTTTACCTATTTTATGTGTAGAATAGTTCATTTCGATTTTTTTCTAATTGATAACTAAAAATTACTTATGACACGCTTCGTAAGATATATATTTTTTCGTATTTCACAATAGTATTTATTCATATTATCAGTATAAAAAAAAAGCTTCAACTACGCCTTCGATCATTAACCAAAAAAAAAAGAGTCAATTCATTCGAGCGAATCGAAGTGGATATATTTTAAGTTTTTTTTTTTCATCATAGTACTTATTTATGAGTGTCCCTGTAAATTAGATATAAACGATAGAATTTTTGACATTGAATAAAAACTCGCTTTTTTTTTTTTTAAATATTTAATTCATTAATTAGAATTTCAATGTCATTCACAATGTATATTTGCTATTGCTTGGATAAGTGATCGATTATTATGTGCAACATCAGGTGATCAAACAACAGTAATTTATGATATTGAAACAGGTAATGAAATTGATGTATTACGTGGCCATACAATGAGTGTACGAAGTGTATGTAAATTATACTATAGTACAAGTAAATTTTATTGAAAATTTGTTGAAATTTTTAAAATCAAATATAAAATATATTTTAGATGTTCTAGCAACAGGTGGTCGAGATTCAATTATTAATATTTATGATCGACGTTATTCAAAAAAACGTAAGTAAAGTTTTTTTTTTTTTTCTTATATAGAAAATTTCTTATTCAACTTTTTTTTTTTTTTCATTATAGAAGGAGCTTTATATCCAATTAGTTCAATTGCTTGTGCTCATATAAGTTCCACAGCATTACAAAAATCAGCACGAGTAAATTAGTTCAATTTTAATTAATAATATGATTATTTTTGTTTTTGGTTTATAGAAAGATACACGTAGTGTAACAGCTGTTGAATTTCAAGATGAACATAATTTATATTCATGTGCTTGTGCTGATAGGTAAATAAATGATTGATTGTATTTTATTGATTTTAATTTTGTTGTTTTATAAGTGCATTAAAAGTATGGGATCTTCGTTATACATATTCACGTTTAAATACAACTCATATGCCTAAACCAAAACGTATGCTTTGTGTACCAATTGATGATGTTAAATCTATAAATCGTCTTGCTGGTTTTTCTGATATGAAAATGGATTCAAATCGAATGATACTTTTTGCTAATTGTACAAATAGTAAAATATATCAATTTGATCTTCATGAAGATACGTATTTATCTTCATCAAAAATTCCATCTTATACAGGTCATCGTGTTGGATCATTTAATATTAAAATAGCTCTTAGTCCATATGATCAACTTTTATTAACTGGTTCTAGTGATTTTTATTCATATATTTATCGAGTAAGTCTTTATAATAAAAAAATATCAAAATCTGAAGTAAAAAAAAAAGATTTCATTTACAAATGATGAGGAATTATATGAATGAAAAGGAAAATAAATTATAACAAAGTATTCATGTAGATCGAATTTTACAAACAGAAAAAGATTAACGAGGGAACCGTTCGAATTGATCCATGCCGATTTTACTCATATTTCGCCTATATGTAGGAGTCACCAAGCTAAGAAAAAGCCTAACGAGGGAACGTTCCCAAGTGATTAAAAGCTTTTGAGCTCATATGTTGCCCATTAGGTAGGGAACCACTAGATTAGAGAAACCTCCAAAGGATTCGTGCCCATATTGAGATTTGACAGAGATATCGAATTTTTAGTGGATTTTTCCTGCTGGACCCTAGTTCTACAGCAAAATCATATTTTCGAATTTCGATCTGAAACTTTGCGCAAATGAAGGCTTCGATTAGAGTAGCTTATATAGAAAATTTCAGAATTTTTGGACATTGCATTTCCAAGATATCAATTTTTGAAAAGATAGGCACTTTTCTATAGATAACATGGATACTTTGAAAGATTGATACCTTGGAGATGCATTGTCCAAAAATTCTGAAATTTTTTATACAAGCTACTCTGATCGAGGCCTCCATTTGGGCAAAGTTTCAGGCCGAAATTCGAAAATATGATTTTGCTGTAGAACTAGGGTCCAGCAGGAAAAATCCACTAAAAATTCGATATCTCTGTCAAATCTCAATATGGGCACGAATCCTTTGGAGGTTTCTCTAATCTAGTGGTCCTCTACCTAATGGGTAACATATGAGCTCAAAAGCTTTTAATCACTTGGGAACGTTCCCTCGTAAGAGGATTTGTGTCCATGGTGCTTCTTTCGAAGGTTAAGGCCATTTTACTAATTTTTTTCTGCCTATGGCAAAGTATTTACAAAAAAATCGAATGACGAAATTTTGCCCATATGTAAATCTCATGGTTCTTAGTATATGCTAAAATTTTCAGTAAAAATGGATGTTCCATTTCTGAGATAATGAATTTGCAATAAATATCTACATTTTATAGAAGGGTCAGAAAAATCGAGTTTTCTTGAACATTCATTATCTCAGAAATGGAACATCCATTTTTACTGAAAATTTTAGCATATACTAAGAACCATGAGATTTACATATGGGCAAAATTTCGTCATTCGATTTTTTTGTAAATACTTTGCCATAGGCCGAAAAAAATTAGTAAAATGGCCCTAACCTTCGAAAGAAGCACCATGGGCTCAAATCCTCTCAGACTTTTTCGTAGCTTGGTGATCCTTACATATGGGCAAAATCGGCTTGAATCAGTTGGAACGGTTTCCTTGTAAGCAAATCGTATTCGTATAGAACACACCTATATAAGATAAAAGTATTGATTAGTGTAATCTTATTCTTTTATAAAATCTTATGATTGAACATTTATTTAGATTAATCAACCATTGATAGAACCCATAAAAATTGAACATAATTTTGAAGAAGTAACTGCTGTTGCTTATCATCCAACAAATCCATTTTCAGTATGATTAAATAAATAATAAATATAAATTTTCTGTTTTTTTTTTTGTTTATTTCAAATAGTTTATAACATGTTCGGATGATTTTCAAGTTCGTCTATGGTCTTTATCATTTGATAATGAAATTTCAACATCATTATGTACATTACGAAATAATAATTTTTTAAATAATCAATCACATAATATTGTTACACTTCTTCGTCATCGTCAATATGGTTTAACAAATCATAAATCAATTCTATCATCAATTT